GGGTCATCTGTCCCTACTAAACTACTCTACTTCCAGTTTGTTCCCTGAAAATTGGCGCCAGAGACGTACAAATCGTCACGAATACTGCCGCGCAAGTTGCCGCGTGCGCGTATCCTCGGACGCACGCACTGCACGTCCCCCAAGCCCTTCATCATCCATAGTATTCTTCAATTCTACATTTCTTCTATTGGCTTTCCCATTGATGGTTCGTTCTAGAAAAGGACCTAAATCTTCATGATACTAACATTACCCTGTTCCGGAAAACCATGGCAAATATAGTAGTTAGGAGTAGTGTCGATCCTATGTTTTGATGCTTCTATCGACCATCAATTTCATCGGTCAGGGAGGAGGTGGTGTAGTGGCAAGTGGCGCACTACCTCTCATGCATGGTCACGGACCCGAATCCCTTATCGATATCCGCTTAGGGTAACTATGCCTCCCATCCCTCCGTGGTCGGTTAATTGGCACAAGACTCGTCTGAGAGGACAGAAGCACTGACTTGTCATTTGCTGGCCGCCGCAAGTCGTTGTGTAGGCCACATACGCACTTACGCCACTACAATTCTGAATGGATGTCGAGTGCGGGGCGCATCCCATAGACGGGATTAAACAACGCTAGAAACTTTATCCTTTCAATTCCATTGGTCGGGGACATCACAGCCATCGCCATCGCGAGCATCACTCATGAAGAACCAGCATTCGTAATGTTGTACACGGAGGCTAATATTCTGCTGAGCGAGCCTGGTCATCGAAAGCTTTGCGGATTTGCAATGAAGATCGTGGGCTTTTGATTCCTACGAAGGTGTGTGGTTGAAGTGCTGCTGGATGGAAGCATTCAAAATGACAGAAGATTTCATCAGAGCCACAAATGGTGTCATTGTAGAGCGAAGCACTATTTGCTTTTTCCAGGAAAAGAGAGCAAAGACACTTCGTCTAAAGCACCGTTTTCATTGATTAAGTCAGTGGCTGTTTTTAGAGCCCGCGATTTACCGCGCGAGCGCACGAACGAGCGAGCGACTGGTGCGGAGCTTGCCCCTTGTTTACAACTGAATCTTGGTCGATACCGCCGGACGAGTATTCCCCCAGTCGCTCGCTCGCTGGCCAAATTGCGGACTACCAAAGCAGCCAGTTGAGTATCGCCTGCCATTCTCCCCTTGAATGTTTACGAATAGCGTGAACTGCTCTGTAACAACAATTCTCCTCAACCAACCACCAGTTTCTCAAATCCTCAGCGGACGTTCAATGGTTTGAATAAGTTATGACCAAGGAATGTTTCTCAGAAGCAATTCGTAGGGCAAGCTAGATGTATTTTTCATATACAGAGCTAGGATTTTGTAGACAAATATTAGATGTGTGCATTAAATTCCGCCGTTTTTCGCGTGCAAAAACTTATTTATTACAAAATTAAAGCCAAATGTACATTAACCAATGTAATGCGCATCGTTAGCTACAACTTCTTGCCATCTTTCTGGTATCTTTTTGACACCGCGTCTAAAAAGTCTACATCTTCTGTCCATTTGAGGCAATCGGTCATCCACCTATTTCTGCACTTCTTCTGCATTCCGGAAGCGTGTATCTGCCAAACTGACTTGCATAGACCGGAATAGGTGGTAATCAGAAAGAGCAAGATCCCGAGAGTATGCAGGCTGAATAAGCTGATCCAATCCAGCAACTGCAATTTTTTCAAAGGACATTCTTCGCAACATGGGGTCTGGCATGTTCGTGGTGGAACAGCACCTCATGATATTTTCTTGCGATTGACAGCCGCTTGTAGGTGAGTGCATCCTATGTTCGTAGCGGTCAGCAGTAACAGTTTCATTCAGGCTCAGCAGCTCATAGTACACAACACCCTTCTGATCCCACCACCAAATGCACGCACAGCATTACTTTTTGGCAATGAACTTTCCGCTTTCGTTGCAAACTCTCGAGTGAAGAGAAACCATCTCAGCAGGTTCGTTCAGATGAAGCTTTTCCTCCATAGAAGCATCCTGTGGGCTTCAATGCCAGTTTTCTTGAAATCAAACAGCAGGGGAAGGGCGCCCCAGGAAAATGGTTCATCACGTTCCATGACCTATCAATCTGAGAGCAACGGTATTTTGGGGAAAAACTGATGTGTCTGCCCTTAAATAGGTAGCCAATACCCTATCGTTCAGAATATGACAGGTTCCACCGGTAAACCTCTAACATGATTCTTCGATTATACATTTCTTCTATTAGCTTCTATTAGCAACAACCCTTCGAATTCGGTGGCGGAAATCGACGAATGGTCAATGAAGAGTACCGTAACGCAACAGAAAGGTACTCCTTCATGTCAAGCTTCAGTGTTATGAGATATTGACTACGAGTCGTAATAGCCTCTTCAGTTTTCAGTACACTTAACTCGCTAATTTCAGACCATTTCACCATTCGCTCAAATTTTCGGTAAAACACTTTTCGGCAGTGACTCGATTGTAGCTTCATTACCCCTTTTAGTGACTGCGATTATAGCTCTGTTCACTCGACTGTAAACCACACGATAGTTCCACCAGAAAGAACGTTAAGAAATTTGTGATTGTCGATCACACCAAACTCCACCTGTTGTCGGGGTCGTATCACAAAATCTACCATTGAAGGCATATATCCGCATAACAAAATTTNATGAAGTGTGCTTTTGAGAAATTTGTGATTTTCGATAACATCAAACTCCACCTGTTGTCGGGGTCGTATCACAAAATCTACCATTGAAGGCATATATCCGCATAACAAAATTTCTAGTTTCCCACAAAGTATTCGTATGTAATATAATTGGAAGAGCTTTTAAAAAACAATCACAACATTCAATTCAACAAACACAATCTATTGCCGACGTTCAAAACAAATGTGGTAGGGTCGTGGTCGTCGGACAGTTCCCATTTCATGAGTTGCCTTCATACTTGGCATATGTAGAGGATCTGCTGAGATTTTGTAGCGAAGTAGAAAGTTAGCGATTACCTTAACGAATACATACAAATTAAGGATGCAAACACAACCATTCCGATCAAATGAATAAACGATTTAATAAATACTGCTCTATTTCAATATCCGCTACAAATGGAGTGGTATGATCAACTTTTTTTTTGGAGTGGGAGGGAGGGTTGAGGGAGTGGTGTTGAATGCTCATTCGGCCTATACAATGACTTAGGTGACTAGCCGATGTACAACTTTGTGCTTCTATCCTCTCAGACAAGTCTTTAAACGATTATCTGACAACGAAATAATAGAAGGCTTAGGATCTAGGCGAGAATCGATCCGGGCTGCGGACCAAAGGGACGTGATGAGCTGCTATTTGCCACCACCTCACATATTTATGTACCCCTACGTTCAGATTAGTTTCGGAAATTCAATGCAAGGGAGGCGGTCGTAATTAGAGCATTATGAAAGATTTTTTCTTCACGGGCGGTTTTCCGCATTAATTGTGCTAACAGATAAAATAGATGAAAAGAATTCGTCCGAGCCACTATCATTGCCATTCCCTATCATGTCTCCCTCCACATTACTGTTCGCGGTCTGAATTTTTCAGTAAATATTTCATTTGGTTCTCTCGACGCCGTTTCTTTGATGAATTGAGGATCATGGATTCACTTGTTTTGTTGAGATACATATATGAAAAAAGATTGGAAAACTACCAGATATAATTCTGCTTGAGCGAGTGATTCGCCAAGGCACGATCTCTTCCCCAACCCAAAGGCGATCACTCTTTGTTCCAACTTGTTACCATTGAAGTAGCGGTCAGGATTGAACTGGAAAAGGAATTGCAAACTTGGAAAGGTCTATAAAATATGAATGTAATCACTACACTATTCTAATAAAAATTGCCTCGTCACGTTTTTTGAAGTGTTTTTCGTCAGTCATGATGAGTGATATTTGGGCTGTGATGGCAGTCCCCTTAGGAATTAAATATGATCCGACGCGAGTGTCTTCAGATGTTTCTCTCCACAAATTCATCGGAACCAGTATAGCACATCTATGGATCTCCTTGAAGCAAATGCTCAACATTTCACAGTCGCTTCAGTTCAAAGAACTCACGGTCAAAGTAGCGTTATAGAACGGAGTGTTCGGCCTGTCTGCTATAGAGAGCGGACGTCGTCCTTTTGTCAGGGCGAGTAACTCCTCTTCCACTCGAGAAATGACCTGTGAGATAACAATGAAAAGCTAAATTATCCTCGTGAAAATGGATTTAGGCCCAACACGAAATTGTAATCGCAAGTTCTGTATTCGAGCTCTGTATTTGATCACCTGCGGATTAAGGAGCAAGAAGGTGAATGCCCATTCCAGCGTGGTGATAGTAGTTTCTTGACCGGCAAACCATAGGTCCAGCAACGACATGAGCAACGTTTCATCACTAGCGAGTAATTTCTCATGATGAGCCCCTTTTCAGAAGGGAGAACCACTAGATAGACCTACTCAAAACTTGTTGTAACTCCACTTTCACGATCTTTCTTCATTTGAATTAGGAATGCGTCAACGAAATCGTCTCCTTCGCCTTGTAAAACGTGAGTTCCGTTAGCTATGTCACGCTTTCTGGAAGGACCTTTCTTTTCTCATTAGGACCTTTTATCCTTTAAAAAAATTTTTTTTCAGTTCTACAGCACTTTTCCTGCTTTTCAAAATCGATATCAAGCCATCTAACTGCAGAATTATCTGCCGGAGCCCAGTAGTTGGTCTCTCCTTTAGTCTCGTCTAAAAAAATCGGTGCGCACCTATTGTTTACTTGAGTTCGAATAAAATCCAGAACGGAATTCAGTGGCTTCATCAGATATTCAGTTCTTTGCTTTATCCACGGCCAATTCACATTCCATTCATCGATGAGCATATCGAACAACGAGGTGTTCTCCATCATAACGTCCATTTCTTTCTTGAGAGTGAAAAACTTTTGCTCCTCTTCCTAAAAAACTCCTTTCTCACTACTGCAAATATTTTCATAGGATACTTGTTTTGACTTGATGTTTTTTTTATTTATTGTTGGTATTTCGCCGCAGTGCGCGTTTTCGGTAGTGTAAGGGATAGGGCACGGTGCCGAGAAAGCACAGGTTCGGGTTCGAGTCCTGTCCGAGACTCTCCGCAGATCACCAAGCTTGTGAGACTTTTATAGAATATTGTTACTCTGTGTACCACAGCATCGCGGAATTATCGTGTTGGCCTCATATCTTCACAGTTGTGGGGTCAGTTATTCTATGTAACATTTACTTCAAACGGACAACGCCAGAGTCATTGACCCCGATAAAGTTGTTCTAATGGTAAAAATAGCATGGCCACTGACCTTTTCAAATCTTTCTGTAAACAGCATTCTGTTGATGATGTTTCCAATAAGTAGTTCAAGATTTTCATGAGCATCAATAGATTTTCCTTCCTTCTCCAAACGCTTATCCAGTTTCTCACACCTGCAAATGGTCTCAGTAGGCTGGGATGCTCCCTTCAATCAAACTTGTCAATAAGATCACAATTTAAAGGATAGAGCTATGCTTGATGGTAGGCAACCGAAATTTCTGAATGAACGGTACGAAATGAGCACAGAAGGTGAAGACCAAAGCAAGAAAGACATCAGAGGCGCCTGGATTTTCAGAAGGAATCCTCCAATGAAAAGTAGGACGTCTCAACGCGCTAGTCAGTTCCAGCAACTCTCTGAAACTCGAACCTAAAAGATCTCAGCCATGTAAGGAAATACCTTCAGTTCCATCAACATCTTAGTTGAGTTAGCGAGAACGAATGTATTAGACATTCCGGACGGTCTGATACTCTTACTATATATAAAGCGCTCTGTCTGTCTGTCTGCCTGTTTGTTTGTTTGTTTGTACGGAAATTCGATATAACGTGAGAAAACACCTGGAGAAGTCGGGTCAAGTTTGAAATGAGTTGAGCATAGGGTAAGTGCAACGGAGCACGCGTGGGCCTAGCGGAGCGAATTCTTCTAATTCGGTCTCTTAACATTCCAGACAACGGGAAAAAAATGTGCAAAGGTGAGGGATGGGTCAACAATCAAAATAAAGGAAACTTACCGGCGGCGGGCGGAGCGTTCTCACAGTGGGCGGTACTTTCCACAGAGATTCATAACTCGATTTAACGAAGGCGTTGAGGCCAGGAAAAAAATAAAAAGAGTGAGCAAGACCTTATGCGTGCTGAGCATGCATGAGTATAGCGAAGCCCCGCCAACGAGGGGCGGGGCGCGCGTTGAGGTGAAAGCTACTTTTCAAAAATGAGTGTAACTTTGTTACGAAAAGTTATAATAGAATGCGGAAAAAAGTGGTCAGAGGTAATGGGACAAGTGTGGTCAAATCCCGAAAGTGGGCGGGGTTGGCATCAAAGTGGGCGGAGCTTACATCAAAAATTTATTACTTCATTCAGAAACGTTCTGGGATGCGGCAAAAAGGTGTCAAGGTGTAAAAGAACAAATGTGAGAACAAATATGGTCAAATCTCGGCAGTGGGCGGCGCTTAGGTAAAAAATTTATAACTCTATTCACGAACGTTTGGGATGCGGGAAAAAAGTGGTAAGAGGAATTGGAACAAATGTAGTTAAGTCCTCGAAGGGGGCGGAGCTGGCACATGGAAGCGGGGCTAGGACCAAAAACTCATCTCTTCAAAAACTTTNCTTAGGTAAAAAATTCATAACTCTATTCACGAACGTTTGGGATGCGGGAAAAAAGTGGTGAGAGGAATTGGAACAAATGTAGTTAAGTCCTCGAAGGGGGCGGAGCTGGCACATGGAAGCGGGGCTAGGACCAAAAACTCATCTCTTCAAAAACTTTCTGGTATGCGGAAAAAAAAGGTTTGGAGCAGTCAAAAGAAGGGTGGTCAAGTTTACCGTGGGAAGGGTTTGCATAGGGTGGACGGAGCTATGATCAACAACTAATAACTTTGCTCAAATATATCGAGCGTGATGCTCTCAGCAGTTCAGCGTTTGGATCTAGAGAGAACTATCTTATTCTGATTATCCAACATTCCGCTGAATGACTGTGCGCGTTAGCGTGCATAGCCAAACTGGTAAGAAATACGCCTCGAAACCTTATGAAAGCAGCCAATGTGCTAGGGTAGTTACACAACGATACACCGGCCAACTGAAATAAGTGTATCACCGTAGCAAGTGAGCTGCACTCCTGCAGCCACTGCTGATATTAAATCGTCAATGATATACCATCTGTTGCTTGCTATTAATATACTTGAATGGGACGCCAACTCTGGTCGAACGGGTAGAACCTTGGTTACTTGGCTAACATCTTTGGCGTTTCAGCTTCTGGAGGTTGTTGCCAATGACCCCGCCCGTTTGGGCGCTTGACTGGTTGAGCCACAGATCAACACCTTTGCGATACATACTTTCAGGACGTTATTATGGCTATATGTGTTTTCGAGACGTCGATGATTTAAGCAGTTTTATCACAATAAGATAGCAGGCTCTATTTGAAAACCTCTCCTCGGCATATCAACAATGTGTTAGCACTTCAGCTGTAAAATGGCACACTTACGCAATTTCGAATTCATACATGATCCTCTCTTCAATGATGTTTCTCCCTAGACCGAAGTTCCGAAGAGTATGCAGTGCAAAACGACGCTGTTCTACCCATGGCTGTCCATTCGTAACGATGATTCCACGTCCATCTGAAATGTAGGGTGCGGATGTCTATAAAGAGACAGCATGTGGTTGTTTGAAACTGTCTGCACATCAAATTGAATAACTTGTCCTTAAAACAGCAAAGGTTCAATAATTGTCCCTCAAGATATAGTCTCACGAATCCAAGGCGACACACTTCTCATCAAACTGAAAAGATAAGGCATAGTCCGACTGGCGAAGTTTGAACCCTGTTTCACCATCGCATCAACAGCGGTAGAATAGTCACAAATGTTTACAGTTGGCAAAGGTCCAAACCAAAAAGTATGGACGGGACCGTATTCCTGAAGCATGTGTATTCGAGAGATACATAGTGCATGCAAAGCTACACCGTCCTAGTGAACTATATTCTAACCTCTGCCCAATCTCGAATTGCATCAACGAAGGTTTTCTTCTCGATGAGTAGCTTGTAACCAATTTGGTGCACATTGCCGAGGACAGGCAAGGGGAAAGGTCCTGAAAGCATGCTTATTCGTAAATCAACACATCAAGTGCACTGAAACATAAAAAAAAGCTTGAAGTTAACTGGTCTTAGTGCAAGTTACCCATCTCCCTTCCCCTATATAGGTCAACGTTTTCGAAACTTCAATTCATCTTGAATTGGGGAAACCACTACACCTCAGACAGCTTCATGCTTACGTATTGGAACCCATCCAAATGACATCACAAATTCAATAAAAACAGTGTCGTTTTTTGGATGAACTCGGTCCATCAGAAAAGTGTGCTTAAAGGCCTCTGAAGGGGAAAAAAGTGGTATGGAGCCATAGGAGTTGAGTGGATTCTTGCGATTAGAGGATGAAGAGGAAGGCAAGACAGAAGAAATAGATTCTCAATACAAAAAAGAAATTAAATAATCATGAAGAAAGTTAACGATGGTGATTTGTAGGGTATTCAACATTTTCTCTTCAGTCCACGGCAAAATACCAGAAGCCCCCATCCTAACGGCAAAGTACTTGAGACATTTGTGATAAGTTTGAGTTGTACTGGCAGTTTGCTCGACTCCTCAGAGGAGTCGAGCAAACAGCCAGTACAACTCAAAATTATCTCAAATGTACTTGTTAGCAATATCATACCAGTTTCCAGTCTTTTTGTTGTTGTCATTGTTGCATGGCATTTGCAAAAACAAATTATATAAATGTAATTTCACCTCGGACTCATATAGAAACTGAGACGTTTCACATAACGAACCTGGCGGTAATTTCCTTCTTCTAATCCATAGCTTGAGGAAAAAGTAGGTGATGAAACCAAGAAGAATAACAATGACAAACATTCTGAGCTACCCTGAAAAAGGAAATTGTGCTATTCTCACTCTTTTGAAGTGATTAAGTAGGTGGATCGGTGAAGGTGGTCTTCTGTATGTGAGTTTTTATTTCGGTTTGAATCAAATTATATTGTAACACTAATTGAGCTCGAATGACCTCTTGTCACTTCCAATGAATATTCTGAGTCTTCCTTTTTTGGATTGCTAAATTCATCCTATCCGTTATTCCAGCTAATGCGGAAGATCCAAATGATACTAAAACGTTTGCGTAGGCTTTCTTCGCTTTAAATTGCTACAGTAAATCTGGAATTCAGGAAAAGAATGAATTGTAATACATCATCTTAACCCCTTTTGTCTCTTCAGAATTTGAAGGAGGGGCAGGAAGAAAGCATCAGGTTACGGTGCTCTCGAGCAGGTTTCTTCAAGTCGATGTATTAAGTTGATGCATAATTATTGCGGATTTTTTCGCGGCTTCTTTTCCTTCGATAAAATTAAACTTTTGAATTCGGGATTTTTGTTGGAATAATCTTCCCGCTTTCCTTAACAGAAATATGTCTAGAGTCATCTTCATAATCACCACGTTTTGCTCTATTACTTCGAGAAATGTTGGAAGGCAGCGCACTCATAACGTGATCTCAACAAGTTTCTCTGCGATGGAACAGTCAGCCAAAGCCGAACAAGGAATGGAATCTGCTTCTGCGGTCGCCCTGTTCACCAACAGGAACTCCTATGGATTATCACGTTCATCGCCCGTTGAAAATTCGTTAACGAACAAAACTTTCGACGAAGTGGATGGCGGCTTGATGGTCAACGTCAAGGCGTGATCGCTTCCAAGAATCGAAGCTTCTTCGCCTGTGGAATCCAACCGCCTAGCAAATGGGAAGCAGTGCTTGACGTAGATGGTGGATAAGTTCCAGAGTAATTATTTGAACATGTCTTTGCTAAGTATTTCAATCGATTCTTCAGGTAAACCTTACTGAAGAAATCCGCAATAATTATTCATCAACCTCGCATTCTTCCCCAAATACTTAGTTTTCTTGTCAAGCTTTTGAGACAATAGTTTATACAAAGCGTTATACATATCAGAGGAAGATGACTTGTTTAAGTTATTCTTTCACCCTTAAAGAAGAAGAATGAAGTAGTCTATGAGAGAAATAATGGGTCCAAAAGAACCGGTTAACGACTATGTATACCAGACAGTTTTCTTGAAGAAAACAGCTTTCGAGAGAAAAACAAGTCAGCACCTAGAGAACGGTGTGGGCATGTGACGAACTCTACTGATAGGGTCTGATACCACAAGTGAGAACAACTGATATGAGGATTACAGCGTATGGCATCAAGTTATTTTGGAAATGAAAAAAAGCAAAAATTAGGTCCCCCTAATAAACAGCTTCATATGAAGCATCCATGCATAATAATAATAACAATAATAGTAATATAATAATAATAAAATAATAATAACAGTAATAATAGT